GATAATACTATGGTGGTAATCATTTTGTAATATATGTGTATCAAATCAACACAGTAAAACTTAAACTTACCCAATGGTATATGTCGATTATATCTCAATAAAACTAGCAGGGTGGCACAGAAAAAAACTATTATGTAGATGTACCACTCTAAGATCCTGAGGCAGCTTTTCAGGCTCTGAACATATACTTCCACTCTGGCCCTACCCAATTCCTTCTCCATCCCCAAATCATTCTGTTACAAAAAGGGATCTGATTGACTCTTTTACTGGTAACTAAAGAGCAGCTAACATAATTCCCCTTCCAGAGAGAATCTTATAAAAAGAAATTATGTCAAATGCCAAATATTTTTCTTCTAGCAATAGATTTACAAGATCAGCAAAGGTTCTATTGTTAGTAGAAGTGAAAGAAATGCAGAAAAGCAAATACATTAGACATATATTGGGGTGGAGACTATGCCTGGTACTCCCTCCAATCAGCTACTTCACCTGAGCAAGGCTAAGTACTGCCGCCACTCACATCCACTCTACCCTTTGTCAGTACTAATCAGCAAAGCTAAGATTCCCTGCAAAAAGGGAGGCTCGGCCTCACAATGGGTCAAACTGAATTTCTCATCCACAGTGCTTCAGAAAATGTGAAATTGGATCTTGATCACTGAGAACCTGCCATCATCATTAAGCAGAAAAAGCAGACAGACATCTGTTCTGTCTGGGAACACAGAGAGCATACTAATTACAAGCTACTGCCTGGTACAGAACACTGTAGCCTCAGCTTGGACAGCTGTCAGCCAGGCGGACAGAGGCTGACCAGGCAGTCCTCCCAGAAGTGATGTAAACCACTGTTCAAGTGTCTAGGGGCTCAAGACTCTGCCTCACAATGGCAAGTGAATGAATTATGTGATACTCCTTCGCCATCACGGTCCCATCCTCCTCTTTCAGACCCTGAATTTCAGGAACAAATATCAGAACTGAGCCTGTAATGCTTCATCTTGTGCTTTTCATAACCTAACTCTGTTATAGTGCACTCTTCTCTCCTGCCTTTTCCCAAATTTTATCTTCCTGTTAAAGCTCATCTCTAGATTCACATTATTCATTTGCTAATTTGTTCATTCACCAATTTGTTCATTCACCAAAAATGAGTACTTAGTTTGTACAAAGTGATGTATTAGTCATTTGTAGAATATAAAGTGAATCGAGGATAAGTCCTTCTTTCATGATGTTTACAAGTTTAACAAGAGAGAGTAAATAGACACCCAAATAATGCCAATCCAAGGAATAAATAAATAAATAAATAAATAAATAAATAAATAAATAAAGTTGCAGGCAAGATAGGTAGGACTAGATGCTTTAGGGGTTTAAAATAAATAACAATGAATTAGATCCAAGCATATTTAAGGAAGGCTTTGTCGAATAGGTGGTGGTCACATCAGGACTTGGTCGTGCTCAGAGGCACGCATATATGGGGAAGATGCACAGAGAGCCACCAAAGTAAATAAAGGGAAGGAAGAAAATGCAAGTTTGTTTGAAAAACACAGGATATATTCAGTAGGATAAGAAATAAAATTTTAAGGGGGATTATGAAATATAAGATTACAAGGACAGGTTGAGGTTTAATCGCAGCATCCTTTTGGAAAACCCAGGAATATACAACCTCTGCTGACCCCTCTTCTCCGTTATATTCTATAATGCATGTTTTAGCTCACTTTTTGTGCTCTAAGTGACAGACATTCAATAAATGTGTGTTGAATAATGAATTAAGATATTCACTGGTAAATGCTTCTGTGACTATACCCATGGAAATTGTGCAGTATGTTATAAACGAAAACTTAGTTGTTTCCAGTGATCATCCTTGTTCCCTAATGTTTATAAAACTAATAAATAACAGCTATGGTTGGCAAAGTGCAAGATGATGATGATAATTTACATTTTATGGGCATCTTGGATATGGATGTCCTTGGATGTGTAAATCAGGCCTTACTTTATCTCACTAATTCACGTTACTTCAGGCCGAGAGAAAAGCAAAAGCAGATGTCCTAGTGGAATTTGGTGGACTTGTCCTGCACCCAGGCTCCTGGACAGGCATATCTGCTCTTGTGACATCTCATCAGAAACTTCCATGGAAAGGCTAGTGATGGCACAGGGTCGAAGCATAGGCACAGAAGAAGAGATGAGGGACTAGGGGGTGCTTAGAACACCTAGAAGACTTGAGACTCCAAGCTGAAAATTTTCCTGGACTCTCACAATATGTAGATAATAATAATAATAATAATAATAATAATAATAATAGTAGTAGTAGTAGTAGTAGTAGTTATGGTTATAATTTATTGGGCATTTACTATATATCAGTATTTATTATTTGTTATAAGTACTTTATAAATGTAACATCTTAATTCTCATAACTACTATATGAAGTAGACATTATTATAATGATTTTATAGATGAATAAACTGTGATACAGACTGGTGAAGAAACCTGACCAGGTTAAACAGCAGGAATTAGCAGAGCCAGGATTAAAACCCAGGTCTGTCTGATTTCAAGCTCTATTTAAACTACCCCTCTGAATTAATGGATGATGGATTCTTCATGCGTTGTCAAAAGAGACCAGGACACTTAGCAGAAACCGACATGGTAACATCAGGAAGTCAGCCTGCCCTTGTTGAAGCCCAGTCTCTGGTAAAAGTATCACTTAGAAGCCCTGGATTTTTGCATGTGTGCTGTCTTTTACAGACTTTCAAGGATGGGAAACACATTGGCCATGCCACAATCTAAGAATAAATGTTTAAAAGATCCACACATTAAATATGAGAAGTTAACAAGCAACATTTCAAAACTTCCATAAGGTGTACTTCCATAAATACTGAGAAGGAGAAAGACAGAAATAGCACCTGCAGGCTTAAGTAGTGTTGCAAAGTACAGTAGGCTCCCCTCTCTCCAATCCATGGTTTTGCTCTTCGAGGTTTCATTTACCTGCAGTCAAACACAGTCAGAAAATATTTAGTGGAAAATTCCAGAAATAAACAATTCAGAAATTTTAAATTGTGTGCTGTTCTGCCTAACATAACAGACTCTCACACCATCCTACTTTGCCCCACTCTGGATGAGAATCATCCCTTTGTCCAGAGTCTCCACACGGTAGATGCTCCCGCCTGTTGGTCACTTAGTAGCCACTTCAGTTATCAGGTCTATTAGGGTAACTGTTGAGGCATCACAGTGCTTGTGCTCAAGTAACCCTTATTTTACTTAACAGTGTTCTGAAAGGGCACGAATAGTGATGCTGACAATTCAAATATGCCACAGAAAAGCTTTAAAGTGCCTCTTTCAAGTGAAAGGTAGAAGCTTTTGAGTTAGTAAAGAAAAAATCCTAGTTTATAAATTAAACTTTGTCACAGGTATGTGTGTATAGAAAAAAAAACAATATATACAGGATTCACTACTACCCATGGTATCAGGCAGCTATCTGGGGTCTGGGACCATACGTTCCATGGATGGGGGGTGGGGGACTGCTGTCCTGTTCAAATGGGAAGAGTCATGAACAGGTGGAACAGAGAGAGACACAGCCATCCCTGTCCTTGGTTCTTCTCGAAACGTTTGCTAACAATTACTTTGGTCTGTCCACTGTTTAATAAAAATAGTTGTTTCTTGTGTTTTTTAGGCAAAATTATCACTTATACCCTACATCTCTAGGAGATAATCCTGTAGATTCCAGACCATTCTCCCATTTACTAGTTGTGTGGCCTGCGATGAGTAATTATAAAGCTTGTATCACCATGGATGCAAGTCACTGCTCTCTGTGCCTCAGCCTCTTCTTCTATAAAATTGGGGCAATAAAGAATACTTACCACTTAGGGCTGAAGAGAGGATAGAATAACTTCATATGCATATAATTAATGTATATGTTATGTACTTAAAACAAGACCTGGCACATAGTAAGCATTATGTAAATGTTAGGTGTTATTGTATATGTAGAATGGCTGTGCAAGTATTAACTATCTTTTTTTTAAAGATTTTATTTATTTATTTTTAGAGAGATGGGGAAGGGAGGGAGAAAAGGGAGGGAGTGAACGTCAATGTATGGTTGCCTCTAGCACACCCCATACTGGGGATATGGCCTGCCACCCAGACATGTGCCCTGACTGGGAATCAAACCGGCAATGCTTTCATTCGCAGGCCTGCACTCAATCCGCTGAGCTACACCAGCCAGAAGTATTAACTATCTTAGGAATAATTTTCACTAAACGCCACTTACAAGTGGTCTGCAGAAAGTCTCATGAAGCAAAGGGTCATTGTGTTTACATGTTATCGTGCCTACACCCACACAGATCTGAGATATTCACAGGTATTTTCTGGTCTGTTCTTGTCTTCATGCGTGTGTATGTGTGTGTGTGTGTGTGTGTGTGTGTGTGTGTGTGTGTGTGTGTTGTTCTTGAATATTTTGTTTAATCCATTTTCTTCATTGTTCTTCCACCTCACTCACTGAGACTTCCTAATGCTGGTGGGGATCAGGAGCAAAGTAGGAACGGAACAAGCCCAATGCTGACAGAGATGAGAAGGCCCTTTCAGGTGGGCAGCGCTCTGGGAGCCTGAAACGCTGTTCACCTGTGTCTCCTGAAGGACAAAAAAACAGAGCGGGGAGAAAACTCTACACATCCCAAATGGGGGGGTGGTGGAAGAAGCAGACATCTGTCTGCCTTCTTCACTCGCTGAAAATACACGTGTACTCACTCAGTCCGCTATGCCCAGACGTTATGCTGGGCAAGAGGAGAAAAGGGTGGACAAGACAGAAAACCAGACAAAGTGCCCGACCCTGGCCCGTGGAGCTTCCTCAGGGCACAGAGCCCAAACTTCACAAGACGGTCACTCTCCAGGGAAGCGTAGGCCTGGGGTGCAGGCGGGAAGGAAGCCGGCCGGAGCCCCGCCTACTCACCGCTCGGGACCGCCCGCTCGCCGGGCACCCGCGCAGCGCGGATCCGCCCCTTCAACATCGGCGGCGGCGCGACCCTCAGCTGCGCGAGCACGCGGGGCGCCCAGCTGTCAATCTCGCGCAGGCTGAGCTTGGTGCGGAGGGAGCGGCGGCGGCGGAGGCGGCGATGGGACCCCGGCGAGAGATCTGCGGCTAGCTGGCTGCACTTGCTCCACGGGTCAGGGGATCGGAGGGGGCAGGTAAAGCCTATCTGTGCTGGGTTTGTCTCTCCAGTTCTGCCTATCCTCCCTTTCTCTTTCCTCACGCACAAATATTCCCTCTCTCTCTCTCTCTCTCTCTCTCTCTTTCTCTCTCTCTGTCTCTCTCTCGCTCTCTCTCTCTCCCTCCCTCCCTCTCTCTCTCTTACACACACACACTCACACACACACACTACTCATTCACGTTTATTATATATGCACAATTCTGTTCAAAAACCACGGTATTAAATTCTGTGAATAAGGGTTAGCCAACTCCATGCTTTGACGGTTTGGGGTTTGTGTTACGTAAGAATTTGGGAGGTATACAGGGAAAACTTAAGAGTTTCTTTCCTGTGAGACAAGAAAAGTTGTATATTAGGTTAAAGTTAATCCTATGTATTTGGAGTTTGGAAAGCTGGTTTGATTTGTTTTCCAGGACGAATTTAACCCCCACCTGCCCTCCCTACTCCTTTGCCACGTCTAAAAATGTTTGAGTATTTTGATATTATCTCAAGACCTACTTCTTGTGTGGTTAGAAAGGGGCGTTGTGGTGGGGGAGGGTCAGACCAAGGCTCCTGACCTCAAAGAAAACAGAGCTGGAGTTAAACAGCTGTTGTTTGTTTAATTGGCTCCTGGCTCAGCAGCAGAAATGTTTTCAGCACCTTGGAGAGCTCCGTGGGCTCCAGGCCAGCCTTTGGTGAAGGGCAATGTGGAGTCAATTCCTACAAGGAAAATGGGGCAGGCGACAGATACAGAACGGAGGTTTAATCGAAAGACATGGGCACAGATTAGAGAGAGAGAGAAAGAGAGACAGAGACAGAGAGGGAGAGGAGGGAGGAGGGATGAGGAAAGAGGGAAAAGGGGAAAGATAATAGTGACTTGTTTGCTTCTTCTTATCCAGATTCAGGATACCCACAAAATAAAATTTAGGAGCAAAGAAATGAATCTTGGAGTAGGTTTGGCTATGGTTCATATACAGTGAACCTTCAAAATACTGAAAGCAGTTTGTTAGTTCTCAGCTAGGTTTCCTCACCTCAAGTCTTTGAGGTTCTCCTTCAAATGGATGGGAAACTGTTTATCAGAAAGAATTCTTAATGACCTCTTGGAAAACATGCCCCAGTTATTATTTTATTTTACACGACTAGAGTAATGCAGGAAACCAATAGCTCTATATCAGGCAATGGCTTTTTAATTAAATCTTGCAGCCACCTGGTTTTCTTAGTCAGATGGAAAGTAAAATGACCATGATAGAAAAGAAAATGGATATAGGAGTAAAGATCAATTTAATGAGTAAATTGTCCATAGAGACTTAATAAGCCTAAAATGCATGTAAATAGATCAGAAAATGCAATGGCTATAAGATTCACTTATTTTACAGTATAATGGAACAGTTTCTGGAGTATCTAGGAAGCAAGTAGTCTTTTCACTTAGAATTTGTAAAATACAAATGGATCAGTCTAATTGGTATTATCAACTGCATGGGACATAATTGTATCAAAATGAGAATAATGTTTGTACAGTGTGTTATAGATTAGAGAGCTCTTCACATTTATGTTGCCTTACTCTATAAACTCTCATAAAAACCCATGAAAAAGTTACAAAATATATTATGCTTTTGTAAAAAAAAGAACTATCTCTGCTCTTGAACAAGAAGTTCTTTGTCAACATTTTTGTCAACATCAAATTATTCTTTATAACTTGTAAGAATGGCTTATAAAATTTAGGTTTTCATCCAGATCACATTCTGCAGAGATTTTTTTCTTTAATAGGACTGAAGAATGCACCGTTAAAAAGAGAGGCTGAAGAGTAAACAACAAAAAAAGGAAGAGGAAGACTTCAAAGGTAAGACTCAGACATTGTCACATGTGGATTTATAAGCACCTTGTGATCTGCATGTAGACAAAGAAGAGATTTACAGACAATATGGATTCTTTTCATTTTGGTTTTGGACTTTACATACCTTTCTTAAAAATACATCTTGAAGGAGTAAAGTATTAAAATAATTGCATATCATTATCCCTCTGTTAAAGATTACATAGTGGCTGCATAGCCAGTGACTTAGAGGGTATAAAAAAATCTCATAGAGACAAAATCTCTACCACTGAAATGATCCAGTGGTAAAAACACGTTTTCAAGTTTTAAATTCATGCTTACATAATTCCATAATGCCTGATTTAAAAGTGAAAAAGCTGTTAGCAGCCTTTCATGTCTTCCTGCATCCACCCTGAGTCTTTTAAGTGAATTGACCTTTTGGTTTGGTGCTGGATAAATGGTCTAAATCAGCTGTGTACCTACACTGTGCAGCATTGGCCCTGTGGAAAAGCAACTGTAATGGGAACTTCACTCTCATTATCTCAGAATGATTTTATGGGAGGGAAAAGCAGTATGAAAATTGAATGATAATTTCAAATAGAATAAATAGAACAGGGACTGTGCCTGAACTCACGAATGACTCACAGGCAGAGCCATGGGAAAACACTCATGCTTTTTGCACCTCAATTTTCTGTCAACCTTCTCTCAAGGAGGCCATGAAGACAAATAATATAAAGTCTGTGATCTTCTTAGTTTCATGAGTTCTGAGTTTCATATTTTTTCTGTGTTTATGGTTATGAACACTTTTAAAATAAAATAAAAAGTAAATGCATATATTAGACAAATTCAAATTTGCAGTAAGTTGATACTGTAGTATATTGGAACACATAGAGATCAAAATAACACACATATGGGTTTATTTGACAAATAGAGGAATTGTTCAAGGGATTCTCAGCATTTGTGCTTCCTCCTGCTGCAAATATCTCATTTTGGTTCTCATTCTCTTGTAATTATTGCCTCATGAATTCTTCTCCTTTTAATCCAGAAGTCTATTGAGGGCAGATTGTGCCCTGCTCATCTTTGTAACCATTATCTCACATAATATGTCACATAATGAGAGCTTTAAAAATACTGGAGGAATAGAGGAATGAAAAATGAAGGACCACTCTGGCTGTCACCCACACTGACCTATGAAGAACTCTGCACCAATAAGTTTCAATGTGGTAACAGTCCCTGCCCTTGTGGAGCTTATAGTCTGTCATGTACCTGGGCTATCAGACAATATATAATGCAGTATAAGGCAGTAATAAATGCTATGAAGACAAACAAATTTGGACAAGGGGACAGAGAGTGATAGAGAGCTGATATTTAATATGCTGATTGCAAAAGCCTCTTGAAAAAATTAGGAGTTAAGGTATGATTTCTCCTTATGATATGCTAGGTATGCTACGTTGGTAAGAACTGAAAATCCATTTAATATATAATTGTACATGCAATGGAGATAGATTATAAACAGAAAAACATGGACAGATCCTTTCTTATCAGCCCCGAGAATGGCCTTCAGGAAGAACACAAACAACTGCCTCTTCCTAGATAACCGGACACTAATGTTGCCTGTGTTCCATCAAGAGGATGCAACAGGCTCCACGAGAGCATTTAGAAAATGAATATTTGCAGAACTCGTTTAAGCACAATACTGGAAAATATTTTCACTTACCTCTCCCCACTATTTATGCACTTCCTGAAATGTTAAGGCTTTCTGTAAAAAAAAAAAGGGGGGGGGCCCTCCAGGATCTGTCACTTAACAAGAATCATTATTGTTCTTGCTGCTGCTACTACTATAACTATTGAAATATAAATATCAGAATTCTCATGAAACTTGCTCATTAAGTAAATGCTGGGTCGAACTAAAAAGCCCTTGATACATATTTCATTTCTTCTCAACCTTTGCTTATTGTATAATAATTTCCCACCTTTTAAACTGACTTTATAATGTGACTTTGTGTATATTCTTTATAATACTGGAGGTATCAATCAACCAAGTAGGTTCCAAATTTTCTATATTGGGACAAAAAATTACTGACTTCCCTATGAGGACTATAACTGTTGAGATTCTATAGGGGCAAAATTCTCATTCTAATGTGTTATATTTTCAAATCCATGTTCATCCAAGTGATCATTCTCCTCCAGAAGTAAATCCCAAGCTGTGTGTTTGGTAAGATGTATGAACCTCTGAGACCCCCAGGGACTACTCTTTTAGACCACATACATGATGTTGAAGTTAACTTATTAAACAAACCATACACAACCATTCATTTTACTTAATACCAAGCAATTAATCTAATTAGTAGCTCGTATGCTCTTTTGAACTGAAGCTTCTTATATACAATAATATAGCAGCATTTGGGACAATGACAATCAATCAATGAGGGTTTAGGAAGAGGTGGGAAATTAGTAAACCCAGTTATTAATGCAACAGAAATAATTTACTCAGTCTGTAGTTTCGTGGCCAAAGACTCCTGGACAACTATATCTAGACAGAGTTCAAGGTTATGTGGTGCAACCATCTTATTTTAAGTTTGATAAAACCAGAACCCAGGGAGGTTATTGAGCTTGCCTAAAATGTCATGACCAGTAAGTGGCAGATCAAGAATTAGAATTAGAGCCCATTCTCTGCTCTGTGTGGTTAGCACAGCACAGGCCATGTTCTTGTGTTTGGAGAGGGAACAGGCTTATTAGGACTCCTTTCCTGGAATATATCTGGCATCACTAAAAATCCATTCTAAGTTAGAGTAGAGCCTTCCATTGCTCAGGCTGAAAAACAATTGTTTTATGACACTTTCTATTTCTTTTATGATTTTATCCATATAGTGTTTAACAAAGTTGGATTACTGAGCCTCATCCTATAAAGCAGAAACAGCTAACCTGGTATGCTGGAAATCAGCTGTGCAAGGAATGACTAAAATATGTCACACGGTGTTCCTCTGCATGAAAGCTCAATCCTAAGCAAGAATGACTTCAGATCTAAGGAGAACAAATCTTACTGTTGCTATGAGGGATTTTTCTTACCCCTACAATATCTATTTTTGTCCTTTCTTATGTTAAAGTCTCTGATACTTTATACAAATTTTTAAAAATCCATATCTGGATGATTTGGTTCCAATTATCTAAATTTATGATTCAGTCCATGTATTGCCATGTTTCATCTACTCCTTGACTCATGGTATAACCTTTAGCAGATGATTTTTCTATGCTTCAGTTTCTTCAATGACAAAGCAGAGGAGTAATAATAATCCTGTTTCCCTTTGACTGAAATTTTGTTAGAATGTCTTAAAAGAAACTGCCTTTAAAATTGTGCTACTTATATACTGCTACTAATAGGCCCTTATTAATCATCTTCATTGTACAAGCATTAAATAAAAGGTACTGAAGAGGTCATCTTGGCATTTAAAATATGAAAACTAGGTTAACAAAAGAATTTGATTCATCCCACTTTGCTAATCAGGCAAAGTACATTCTAAAAGCTTGATTTTTAAATGAGATAGTAATATCTTTCTAAAATATTTAAAAGTTAAAAAACTTGTCACCCCTGCTCTCTCCTCCTGGCTGATTTCTCCTATGGTAGCTCTACCTGAAACAGGAAGAGGGCCCAGGCACAGGAAGTTGGGCCTGACGTGTAATATTTACAAATATTTATAAAGATGAGGTTATGGTCATCATCTTTACCACCTGAATGCATCATGTTTTTAAAGATCAGGACCATATTTTCCTGAAGTTGACTACATTTTGTAACTAAAGCCCATTTATGGCTAAGGGCAAACATTTACGAGACATTTTTATGGGTTCACTTTCTGGCCATGGGACAGGAGAATGCTAAATATCTCTGGCTTCGAGTTTGATTTTAGCCCATGATTCTATCCATCCAAACTAAGTGGCTACATAGGGGCACTTAATGAAAATATAGATTAGTTTTTTCCTTGTAGATATACATGGCTACTTGGTTTCTTGATAAATAACTGGGAACATTTAATATGTCTTCTATTAACTTGAATTATGCACAAGACCTGAGAAAACCTGGTTCCATTGAGAAAATACCCTTGTATATTGTTCCTTGCTTTCTCATTTTCAGACTATGTCCACACAGGGAAAACCATCTAGAAGATAACTAAAAAATCTAAACAATATTTCATGTCTCCAGTTACATTATAATCTGCTTATATGAAGATCAGAAAACCAAAGAACAGAATAACTCAGAATTCCCTTTCTCACCAAAATTGTTACCTCTCAGTAACTCCTCCCCACCACCATGAATTAATAATCAGATTCCTCTTTCCATGAATAGTTATTAGGTCAATCAAGAAGAAGGTAGAGTCCCAAACAATGTATCAGAAATAGAGTTTCATTTAATAATTCTCTGAATTCTTATTTATACTAGAAACTTCATGGAAAAGAATAGAAGGCTGGGTCTACTCACTGCATTGCACTGTAGCATCCCACATGGACAGATGTATCCACAAATCACTACCAGACTACCTGCTGTTAGAGTTAGTGAGGTGTAAATTATTGTCCACATCATTTGTGACTAATAAAGTATGAAGTGTAAGTTGCTCAGCATCTTTTTAATAAAGCTTCTGTACAACTTGACAATTAGTTAAAATGTTAGAGCAAGATACATGAGATCCAAAGAAACACAGAATTCCAAACTGCTAAGAGTAACACTATGTACTTTTCACAACAGAACACAGTTAAGCATTTGAGAGGACAGCCCAAGACAAATTCCACCTGTAGAAAGTGTGTGCCTGACTAATTCTTTTTAGGTGGATTCCAAGAGATTAAAGATTACTTGTCAGATGAGATCGGGAGCATTCACGGTGGTATGGCCGTAAACAAAGATTACTTGTCAAGACAATGAAAATCTCAGCTTCTTTCTTTCCATTTTTTATGTGCTTCATGCTTAAATTTTTGCATAACTTAAGTGACCTGTGATGTTATGTCTGGTTTTACTTGTGGAAAACCAGTTCTAATCATGGATAATTTAGAGAAAGTTTGTATTAAGCTTATAAGCTTAAGACATTTAAGAATGTCTTGAAAAGTGTCTTTTCTCTTAAGAAAAGAGTATTGTTCAAATAAACTGATATTACTCAGACTGGTTCCCGTCTTTAATATGCCTTTTGATGCTGAGCCAGAGCCCATGGGGCTGATGCATGTGGACGTTGTCATTCCAGCTGGGAAGGATGAGTTCTTGCAGCAATCTCTGTGGGTCCAAGCAGACACGGGCTGCTGCTGAGGGCGGGTACCAGCGCTATGGAGTCCGGTCTTACCTGCACCAGTTTTATGAGGACTGCACCACCTCAATCTGGGAGTATGAGGATGATTTCCAGATCCAGAGATCACCTAACAGGTGGAGCTCAGTATTCTGGAAGGTACGTCAAAAGCGTATGTTTAACTTAGGAAATGGAACTATCATCAGATACAGTGAATACAATACTATAGCTGAAGAGAACTGGGAGGTTCAGAACTCTGGTGATATGAAATGCAGTCTTCTTCCTTTAGGAAAGTAAAACATAAACCATGGGCTGAAGAAAGCCTCTACACAGCATCATTGTTGATTTTTAACTTAAACATGATTAGGTATAATTACCATCATTAATTATTATTATTTTGCTACTGTGACTAATGTGCCACTAAATTCACCAACTGTGAAGCCATCCATAGGCAAAATACTATATGCTCCTAGCATCCCTTACAGTCTTTGTAAGTATCATTTGACAACTTACAACAATTATTAAAAATAATAATTGAGTATTTAGAGAGGGATAATGTTGAAATATAATAAAGCGCTCAGTATTCCAGTTCTAGCTCTACCAGATATGTGAACATGAGGCTCCCTGAGCTTCAAGTTCCTCAAGTGAAGGAGCCTTACTGGACAATGTATTCAGTTATTCAACATATAATTAGTGAGCACCTATTCTGTGCCCAAAACTTGCAAAGTGCTGGAGATGAAAGTGGTAAACAGGAGAAGAGAAAGCCTCTGCCCTCATAGAACTTACCATCTACCATGATAAACACACCATTATCAAATAAACCACATACTAGAATGTCAGGTAGTATGACAAGTACAATGAACACAAATCAGTCAGGGAGTAATAGATGGCTGGTATTGAGATATGGTGATCATAAAAAGGCTTTTAGAGGAGATGACATTCAAGCAAATACCAGGATGAGTTGGGGAGCACACCATAAAACCATCTAGCTAAAGACCATAAAACAATTCCAGGGGAGGAAAATTGCAATACAAAACTGTGATATGAAAACAAGTTTGATGTGTTTGAAAAAATAGCAAGAGGTATAGTCTGATCAGAGTGGAATGAAAGTGGGCAAAGGAAAGGCAATGGATGCAGAAAAATAAGAAGGCACAGATGGTTATATAGGGTCTTATAGATGATAGTGAGGACTTTGGCTCTTACTGTGAGAGACAGGAGAAGCCATGTGACCATTTTATGTAGAGGAGTGAAATGATGCAATTAATATTTTAACAAGAAAATTCTGGCTAATGTACAGAAAAGAGGTTATAGAAGAAAAAATGTAGAAGCAGCTACATTATTTAGGAGACTATTAAAGTACCCCAGCAAGAGGTGTGGTGACTCAAATTAAGGTGATGTTAGTGGAGATGGTGATAAGTAGTCCAATGTAGCATAACATTTGGAGGCCAGGTTCTGAAGACATGCTGATAAATTAGACTTAAAACCAAGTGGAGTCAAATGTGACTCTACGGCTTCCAGCCTGAGCTATTTAGAGAATGATGATACTATTTACCAGGATGGAGAACCAAGGAGAGCAGTGGGATGGGTGGGGAGCCCAGAGTTTGATTCTGGCCATGTTTTATTGTTGATGCCCACTACAAGTGGTGATCTCTAGTGGTAATTTAAATATACTGATCTGGAGCTCATGGATTGGGAGTCATTAGTATATAGAATGTATATATGGCACTCAACTAGATGATACTGCCTAGGAAGACGGTAAGGACATAGAAGAGAAGAGTCATTGGAATGTTCCAACATTAAGAGATCAAGGAAAGGCTGAGGATTTTTAAAAGGGATGATGACACAGCCTTAGATGGTGTCGCTGTTCCCTTCCAGCTCTAGCATTCTGTGCCTCAGATGTTGCCAATCATCCTGACTTTTTCCCAAAAGATCTCAGAATTTTTGGTGTTGATATTGACATAAGCTTGCAATTGATTGGCAATAGTGTAACAGGGGACAATGCAGTATGATTATGAACATGAATTCTGTTCCTCAGACTGTGTGGTTCAAATTTCAGCTCTTCCATTTAATAGCTCTGTAACTTTGGACAAATAATTGACTTTAATGGGACCCTTATGGCAATGCTTATAATACCAACTTCATCAAGTTGTGAGAAACAAATAAGATAATATTTATAAAGAGCTTAGAACAATGTCTGATATGCACTTAATAAGCATTCAATGCCACATGGAACATTAAGTCCTGAAATGGAAATAAAACTGGAAATCTAGTTAATAAAATATTAAATAACATAGTTGGTAATATAAGTTACCCAAGACCTGTGTTTATTCAAAATCTCACTAGCGTCACATGCTCTGTATTAGAATTAGTTGAGCTATCATTTTATCCCTGCCACCTCTGATGAATCCTTACTGGCCTGGACTAACGAAATTAATAGCCAAGCTTGGCACATATTGTATTTACCCACATAAGTGGGTGGTTGCTTCAGTATGTGTCAAAAAACAAATATTTGCCTCACTGATCTGTTGTGCCAAGAGCCTGAAATGCCACTGACATATAAAATATTGTCAGCATTTGTGTGGATCCAAAGCACTGGTGGTTATATGATTTGTGATGCTATAAATTCATCAAATAATCTAAAGGTATGGATTTAAAACAAAGAACTAACAGTAAATTACCAATCCCAGAATTCAGATTTCAATATTTTCTCCATTTTATTTCATACAAACAAGATCCAAAAGTATTTGTCCCTGTCGTGCTAGACCTACTACAGAAAAAAAACAATAAAGGCAAAATCTGTGGCCTCACAGAGATTATATTCCAGTAAAATCCAAATTTTAGTTTCATATTATAATCACTAACACTAGACTGGGCTTTCAGAACCCCACAGTCAACCTGAATAATCTAAGAATTACTGACTTAGAGACCTCACCTCTACCAAGGGAAAACCAACCACTCTTGCCTTCTCTTCTCAGAAATTTAAGTGAATTCATTTCAGTAGGTATATGAAGTGCTTTCTACCAATACAAAGAAAATCACTGGTTATGCATATGTTTCTATTATGATTCTTTTTTATGTTTTTTTCTTTCATTTTAAATTGCATCTATAGGTGGTTCAAGCTGTAGGCTTCTCCTTCCCCATCTTCCACCATAGTAGGGCCTCTGCTCGCAGTGCCTCCTCAATAGGACTCTACCCTCAAGCCAGCTCCTCAGCAGTGGACAGCATGGAGGTGCTTGATGAGAATGGAGATGGGACTCAAATGGGCCAGAGTTAGAATCTTTGCTCTGTCACATGGGTCTACATAGCATCTATCTTTCAGTGCTATTCTTTCCATGGATGTGTATATGTCCACTGTGCACAAGAATACGTGGTAGGCTCTAGGATTCAGTTGTGAATATGATGTTATTCTTCACCTGTGAATAAGATATAGACTTGACTTAAAAGAATTAACAATCAAAGAAGGGAGATATATACAGATTGTTACAATCCAATGTGATAAACATTCCCCTAAAAATAGTCAATTACTGGAAGCACAGGGTGGTGAGAACCTGATGCAGTCTGAGCAAGAAATAGCTCCACAGAAAATACCATTTGTGAACAAGCAGGAGCAGTGCACCCAACAGAAAGAAAGCATTGTGAAGACTGAATCGTGACAGAAGATGGCATGCTCAGGAGACTGCAAACAGTTCAGGGTGGCTGGGCAGAGGTTTAGAAGTTAGAGGAAAGGGGTCAAGAGATCAATGTTGGAATGCATACCTGAGTCATATCACAGATGACTTTGAAAAGCTGTGACACAGAAATTTCTCTAGAACCTTCCAGTTTAAGTACATTGATGGGACAATATAATAACCAGTCTATGCTTTCTCGGGGAGGTTGCCTCACATACAGTTGTAAACACACACACACACACAGTATTACATACATTCTCTGTGCCCCGCAGGTTCTATATTACCACATGGTTGCCTCGGCCACTACTAATTTCTTCCAGTGCCTGCAGCTGCTGCCATATGCAAAACTCTGTGACATGGTCCTACCTACCCCCCCCCCCCCGCCACCTACTGCTGCAGCCAAGGTAGAATTCTTCTTCTAATCCTTGCATCTTCTTTCTTATCCTTGCACTAGACCTTCACCAAGGTTGTTGCCACCTAATTGCGCAGCAAACAGCCTCAGTATGGCAGGTATGAATTAGTGGGAGCAGTCTTCTCATTCCTAATCATACTCTCCCCACCTCAGGGTTATTCTCCTTTTTACCTTCCTTCCTCAATCCATATGAGAAACTGCTTAAAAGTCAAGGCAAGCACCTTCTCCACAGCTTTACTAAAAGTGAAAGTGACCCTCTGATCCCTCTCATTTCTCTTGAGACTCTCCTCTGGTATGCCCCAATCTCTCCAGTTTGCCCCTTAGGCTAAGTCAGAGTTTAAACTTACATCTTAGATTTCTCTTCAAAGTTTTGTTAGGTATTAAGGAGATAGTTTCACACTAGAAATGAGAGGAGCTATGGGGGCCTCTTAAGAGAGAATCCATGTGGTATTCATTCTGTTTTTAAATGTTTTCTCAGATGACACTTGAAGAATGTATAAAAAGGATAAGACTAGCATTGCAGACCACCAGAATGTAATTGTAATGACCAGAGCAACATATAATAATGGTCTGCACCAACAGAGTAGCTATGGCGATGGAGAAGAGATACAAGATTCAAGAGAGCTTTATGAGGTAGAACCAATAAGAGATAATTAACTATTGACTATGAATGTGAGGAAAGAGTCAGTGCATGGGTTGCTGGCAGGAACACAGATAGGAAAAATTAGAAGGAAAGAAGGAAGGAAAGAGTATAATTTTATATATTTGGGTTTGATGAGCCTTTCAGACACCCTATTGTCCACCCCACCCTGTGCTCCCATGAACTACTATGACTACTTTTAGGGGAGCGTTTATCACTTTGGACTATAAAAATCCTCCTATTGATGTCAGAAATATGAGGCTAGAGCCCAGGAGAATCATTTAGGCTGGGGTTAGAGATTTGGAAGTCATTGGTATATTGGTGGTAGTTGAAACTTTAGCCACAGATTAAACCCTAGAGAAAATATTGAACAAAAGGTATGAGTCAAGGATGGAACCCTGGACAACCTGGCAAAGCAGGTTGAGAGTAGGTTGTTAAGGAGGTAGATGTAGAAGGAGAAGGAAAAGAGTTGTATCAGGGATAGCAACAGGTAAGCATTTTAAGAAAGCATGAGTTTTTTACATCAATGGCTGCAGAACATTCAAATGAGATAAGTAAAGAAAAATGGGGTTTAAAAATGAGGAGGTTATTAGTGACCTCAGAGAGAGCAATTTCAGTGAAATCATGGAGGACTAAGCTTGGCTGTCAAAAGGAGGAATGGCTTCAAGCAGTAGCTAGCAAGGAACACAGGGATCTAAAATAGGTTTTGAAGATTGAAGCGACTGAATGTATTCACAGGTTAAAGGGATGGAGCCTCTGTAAAGTAGAAGAGCTAATGCAGGACAATGGGTATCACTACCCAGATGAAGAGGGCTGTGAAGATGGTAGGAGGTAAGGCATGTGAAAGGACCTAGATCATAGCCTGGCATAGGTTTTTGACTTTGTAAAGCTCCATGTCCCTACAGGCAGGCCAGGCAAGAAGGTCAGGACATAAGTTTGAATCTGTCATCACTGCTGGCAAGTGACACCACTCATAGCTCAGATCCTGCTAAGGAGAGGTCAGCAGCAGCCCCCTGGGGCTAATGAAGACGAAAAGCCAGTCTTCACTCTTGATGTGCTTCCTCTGAATTACCTCTAACCCAGATGGCTCCTTCCACATTTAGCTCCATCCAGCATTTCCCCCCACACGCTGTTCTCCCCTGCCACAATAGTTCTTGCTTCCAACAGTCATTACTGCCTCCTCCCTGCCAGAACAGCTGCGTTGCTACTGCTGCCAATTCTGCTTATTGAAGGAAACTGCGTTTTCAGAACTCATCAGCTCACAGGGATGCAACGAAGGGGATGTTGGTCAAAATAACAGCAGTCTCTGGCTTGTCTCCCCAGCAGCAGAATTTCTGGAATCCAAGTTCTTCTCCCTATCCAGTCCTCTTTGCCAACAGTGGAACTGAGTTTCCACACATGCTCACCACAGCCAGGGGAGTTGTCAGAAGTCACAGCTCAAACGCTGTCCTTGCTGCTGCCTTAAGCTTTGTCACAGCCTGGGGAGGTTCTCATCTCTCACTGTGGGTATTGCTCTAGCCACCCCACCTCCCAGGCTGCCCTGGTATGCCTGGGGGTGCCCCATGCCCAGCAACATTTCAACTCTTCTGCATGGCCCTACACAGGGTGGCTCTGATCCCTTAGACTTTTAAAAGATCTCTATGTTGAATTTTTTAACACTCTATTTAATAGAGCCCCTATCCTCTTAGACTTAGGACACCTCAACTTAGAGCTGTGTCCAGGGACACAGTTGTCAGGATAATTGTTAGGATACTGTATAGCCTCATGCTCCAATTTTCGAATTCTTTCCAGTATTCCAACATGGTACCAAAATTAAGCTAATATATGCCAACATCCCTCCTCACCTCTATTACATGCTCAAGAAAGTTAAGGTGCAGGGAACTTGTGATTCCATCATTTTTCTTTCATGCCCCCCATCCCAAGCTTTCCCTGACATGTTTTAATAAATTTGGAGCTCCTCTCTGGGCACAACTCTTGAAGATTCTCATTAGACTTGCATTGATGGCACCTTCAGAACCTTTGGAGTTAGCTAGTCATTACATTGTGCTTCCCTCCACAGACAGCAGACATCTCTCTGATACATGGGTATACCGAGGAAAAGGGAGAAGGCTCAGGGAGACAGCCATGTTCCAGTTCTTGAAGTGAGCAGAAGTTCTACCATCTGCAAGTCATGGTTTGCCTTTTTAGCTTCTGAGTGACAACCCAAGAGTCAATTTTAATCTGTGAAGCACTTGCTCAGTTGAGAAGCAGACTGCTCTGGGAATCAATCACCTGGCTCCATATTCAGCAGTCTGGCGGGCGGTTTAGGTTAGTCTGTCAGGAATATTTATTGAGCACAGGCTGGAATAAGAACTGCGGGGAGACAAGACAGAAATAGAAGATGGAGAGCCTTGGCCTCAGTTGCTCTTAAGAACCTCAGAAACTAAGATGGATACATTTTTGCTGCCCTCAATTTTTGAGAATTAGTGCCAGCTCTTGAGGAGGGAAGCAATTTAGTGACATACGAAGCATGTCACCATGGATATTTAAGTTAATTTAGTTTGTGCATTCAGAATTTCCAATGTGAGTCATTTTTTAAAAGTTATTTTTAAATAATGGTTAGTCTTTGAAGGTAAATTTATTCACCACCATTTTTAGAAAAATGTAGAAAGGCATTTAAAATGTTATATTTTACAGCCCAATTTTCCCTGTACTACTTATATCTTATGGAGAATAGTTTCTATTTTTTTCAGAAGAGATTATATTGACTCTTTTTTGTTTTTCAGTTTTCTCACAATATTACATAATGGAATTTTGTCCATCTATGGTAACAAAAACTCTGTTTTAAAAAAATAATAGCAGGTAATATACAAAATAGTAACTGGTGAAATATCGTGGGAAGATAAAGGGGGTGGGGAGGCTTAGAAGACCTGGGTTAGGGTCCAGTCAAGCAATCTGCTAACTGTAGGACCTTGAACTATGCTTCTTCAACCCTATAATCTCAGTTTCTTATAGGTGAAATAGGAATAAGAATATCTACCTCTCCTAAGGCTGGTGAGGATAAAATGAAAAACACGTCTAACACTATGCCTAAATCATAACAGATGCTGTCAACAAAAGATCACTGCCACCAATCCATTGCCAACAAGGGTTTCCAATCTGGAGTGTGGCAAAAAGAGAAACTTTACTCAGGTAAAATAATTTGCAAACAGAAGGAACTCAGCCTCTGGGAGAAACTGAAAGTCAGCTTCCCAGAGACAAAGGGAAGTCTACCTTATATAGAGAAAGCTCCCACCCTGGTCCCTAATTGGTCCATTTTTGTGTAAATTATGAATCCAAGTTTGCACAGTTTGATTGATCTAAATAGCACTGTCATGATTGGCCAGAATTGCCTGTTCTGGTGGTCATTATGGAGCTGCTCTGATTGGTTAGTAAATATTCAAATGAGGATATAGCTGTGTGGCTCTGACCTCAGCCTGTTGGTTGAAATATGATGCCAGGAACTCCTTTCTAAGGGTCAACTCACACTGTGCAGGAGCACAGTGCAGGTAGCTCACAGCTCAGCCTGCAGCTTTCCCCTGAAATGCGGTGTGTATGAGAGGCCTCCACCAGCATTGGCTGCTGGACTCTGATTATGAATTGGACCCCAGTTAACTATGAGGAGTTCTTCCTGGCAGATGTATTTCTTCTTGAGGTTCACAATGATCAATAATACTAGTTTTCCTTCCCCACTTTGTTAAAGTGATGAATTTACAAATATTTTCCTTTTATTATGTAAACCTTCTTTATTAGTGTCTTACCCTGGATTTTAATAAATAAATATGTTAAATAAACATACTTTAAATATTCAAGATTAAATGCTGTTATGCATTGGGTTATTTTTCCAACCTTGTTGTTCTAACTAAAAGCTATTAGAAACTGGAAGAAATGAAAATTGTGTTTAAAAATAAATAACTATATTATCTGTCCTTTATTCTAAATACGGAGTAATTGTTGTAATACAGTTGCCAAGGTAGCACAATTTTACAAGAGATACATTTCCAAATATATTTTCAGCTACTTATGACAGTGTATTACTAACCCAGGCAAAGGACTAAGTCTTTCATTCATTGTCTCATTTAATTCTCACAACAACTCTATGAGGTGGGTACTATATCATTTACCACTTTATAGGTGGGGAAATTAACAACAAGAGCGTTTAAGTAACTTTCCTTATATGATTCAGTGATAATTCCCAGTGCTAGAATCCAAGCCTGTGTCTGTTAATTCCAAACCTCTGTGTTTAAACCACCAAATGGTATACTTCTTCCATCTTTAGCATGTTACATTTTATTAGAACTTGAGCTGATGCAGTGTCATTTCCATCTGCTACTCCTAACACTTCTCAGCATCTGCAGAAGTCCAACCAAATGGCTCCATGTTAGAGAAAGAGCCCATTTCCTCAGCTGTAGAGTGGCACCTATGGTTCCTTCCCCACTTACCTGGGGAAAGAAAGGGTGAGTAGTCACAGACTATCAATGCCTTCCAGCCACAATCACCAGGATGTATCTATATGTCGATGGTGGTAAGTTTATTACCATCACAGTGAGAAAAATGACACCGTAAGGGGTCCTGGGGCATTCCAGTAAGGGAATGTGAGGAAGGACATATTATAGGATGTTGGGTGATTTGGGGGAGGGTTGAAGGAAAGACAAGTTCACCCTGGATTGTCAGGGGCAATTCTATGATTGAATTTCTTAGTGAATGTTACCTACAGGAAGGGCAGCCTTGAGTGAGACAACAGCTGTAATGGGTAAGGTAGCAGCAGTCATTTATATTGGCAGAGAGGAGGTGCTGGGCATTTGACCTTGTTTTTGTCTGTGCTCAGAGAAAACTGTGAAGTAGTCTTACTTCATCACGGGGGCAGAATGAGCTTGTCTGATGACGTTCTGTGGGATTGATTGGGCCAACAAGAGAACATGGCCTTGCTGTGAGCTCCAGGCCACTTTAGCAATGTCACAGCCTAGTGAATACAGTCAGGCCAGCTCCTGGACACCAGGGCCGCTTTCCTCTGCCTCAGGACCAAAGGAGGCAATGCCAGCAAAAGGGGACTTTGTCACCTGCAAAGCATTGTACACACCAAAAGCTCAAAGGAAAAATCAAGACAGTGACACAGTTTCTGGTTGGCACTAAAATCAGAAAACTGCCCCTTTCACCTTTTTTAACCAGAAAATGATATAGGCTTCTTATACATATTTGGAGTGACTGGGAAAACACACTTGCCCTAAAGATACACCCTACCCTGCAGGGCGCGGGGAGAGCTGAGGCGCTGTGCTTACCTGTCTCGTTTCACTGTGTCTTTCTCTAGGTCGGCCTCATCTCCGGTACAGTCTTCGTGATTCTCGGACTGGCTGTTCTGGCAGTGGGCTTTCTCGTGCCCACCAAAATCGAAGCCTTTGGCGAAGCCGATTTCGTGGTGGTAGACACACATGCTGTGCAGTTTAACGGAGCCCTCGACATGTGCAAGCTAGCGGGAGCCATACTCTTCTGCATTGGGGGCACGTCCATGGCCGGGTGCCTGCTAATGTCAGTGTTTGCTAAGAGCTACTCCAAGGAAGAAAAATTCCTGCAACAAAAGTTTAAAGAGCAAATTGCAGACATCAAGGCCCACACCCAGCCCATCACAAAAGCTCCGGGTCCCGGCGAAACAAAGATACCAGTCACTCTGTCCAGGGTTCAAAATGTCCAGCCTGTTCTGGCCACCTGAACCACCCTCACCCCACCCCCACCTCCTCATCCCATCCTCTCTAATTTACACACATGGTTACAAGGAAGCCGGCCAGCTTTTAAGGTGACAAGGATCTGGTGTTGGTTTGCCCCATGGCTATGCTCGGCTAAGGGCAGCATAGGAAATGGGCTCACGCTCACTGGGCTCAGTGGCCCTGGTGAGGGCAGACGCCCTGTGTCAGCCTGAGCACAGGCACCCAGCTGCTTAGAGGGTGCCTCTGTGCGCCTGCCTGGAGCCCTCTGAAACTCCCCTCTCATAGATTGTGGCTTAGTGTCATTTTCCATGTTATTGGAAAGCCCTGGACAGTTTAGACCAGGCTACCAATCACCAGTGTGGCCCGTTTTTTGTTTTTTTTTTCTAATATTGGTTTTTCTAATCTTCCCTGTGTGGTGCTACCTTCCATTCCTGTCTCACTGTGTGTAAGATATTGTCGAATGTGTTCTTAGAAAAATCAAGTTCCCTGATTTTGACCCAAACATTTTAGTCTTTTAATGATATCTTGACATGAGGTTCTTGCATTGGATGTATTTATCAGAGTTCTTCACAAATCCTTTTTGTTTTCTATAGATATTTTTCATGGAAGCTAAAATAGAATCTTGGGGAAGAAGTTCATGTTGGGAGTATCTATTGACCTACACAATGTCCAAAAGCACTTAATTAGAAGTCAAGATATTTGAGTTCCTACTGCTAAAGAGCTGTTTGACCTTGGGGAAATCACTTAACTTCCCAGGCCTCAGTTTCCACATCTATATAGTGGGGGTCCTGGGCTGTAATGTCCGAGGTCCTTTTTTCTGCCACGTGTCCCTGGCTTTCCCCCCACCCCGAGTATGTTTACAATGTCCTGTGGCCCTCACCACAGTGAGCAGAGGTTCTTTGAGGCTTAGACTCCAGGAATGTGTCCAAGTCCGCGGCCTCCATCCACCCACTCTTAAATATGCAACCCCAACAGTTTATACAAGGCTGTGGTATTTTTATAAAGACAAAGTAAGCCATCCTCAAATAAGAAACCACTGAGTAGATATTAACATTAAAAGGAATGTCTTTCTCCAATAAGACATTTATTCTCCAACAAGATATTCATCACATCCCTTTGCACTTTTATTTAGTCTGTGAATTTAAATGGACTGAGGAAAATGGAAGATGTGACCCTGGTATTCATTCTCTCAGAATCAGTGCCCCTTCGTGGTGTTTTCCCCCTTTTCCCTTTCCTTCACTGGATAAATAAAATATGTGAACCAGCAGAACTTGAATTGCATTGTCATTCCCTCAGTGTGGCCATTTTCTCTCCAACATGTGGTTTTCCATTCTGAGGCTGAATGAGCTCTGCCCTTCCCCCGGCTAAATGGAGGAATGAATGAAGCAATTAGTGCTCTTTGTGCACAGTGTTTATTTTGCCTAGTCCAGCATCAAACACAGGGCGAATCAGCCCCTCAACTAGAATCATTGGCCTGATTTGGGAGAAATCATTCCAGTCTCCTCAGGTTCTCTACCTTCCTGTGGAAATGCCATTTTAATTTTATTCTTCAAAGGCTTCTACAAGCCCCCAAGTATCTGATCAAAGCAATAGCATTTGAAGCTTTCAATGCTTGCTTCTGTGCTGGGTACCAATGAGTCTTTGAAAATGAGACTTGACTTTTAAAAGCCTCCAAAATGAGAAATGATCACTGTCTGGCATGGAAACTTTAAGGTACAGGCATGATAGCAGCCATAAAAAAAAAAAAAGCAGCCCTCTTCCTCAAAGGCCTGAAAGAAACCAACGTGGATAAAGCAGGAGCTGTGTCTGAAAGAGTAACTCATCCTATCTTGCCTTCCGGGCTGTCTGGGCTCAGGGAGTGGGAACTTGTAAGGAGGAGGGATGAAGGGTCTTATAGGAAAGCAGAAGAAGAGGCTGAATGGTATAAGAAATACACCTTGGTCTTGGAAAAAAGTACAGGTCATGTGCAATCAGAGGGCAGGGAGTGGCATACTAAAGACTTTAAAAGTGGCCCTGGCCAGGGGGCTCAGTTGGTTGGAGCATTGCCCCATACACTGGAAGGTTGCGAGTTCCCTTCCTGGTCAGGGCACGTGCCTAGACTGTAGGTTTGATCACCAGTCTGGGTGCATGCAGGAGGCAACTGATCAAGGTTTCTCTTCCATGCCAATGTCTGTCTGTCTGTCTGTCTGTCTGTCTCTCTCGCTCTCTCTCGAATCAATAAACATATCCTTGGGTGGTGATTAAAAAGAAAAAGAATTTTTCAAGTGGTCCTCAGGCCCAGCTGAGGAGACATCAATGGCATGACAAACCAGATGGTCTTAGAGCCTTGGCCTCAGCCTGTTTGCTGGCCCCGAGCCAGGCCTTCCCTTCAGTACTGAAACGTTTAGAGCAAAGTGAAACCATGTACCTGCTGATGGGCATGGAGGTGGGAGAGGAGGTGTGGAAACTGAGAAATGAGTTCGGGCCTGGAGATCATGTACACAGAGGCAAATAGAGTTGGTACAAACCTTAGATGATACAGGCCCACCCCAGGCAGAAGACCCCCACCCCCCTCCTGTCAGCACTGACCAGGCAACCTCTGTGTGCTTGGGTGCTCCCAGGGGCTAGACCCCCACTGCCTCGGAGGGCCAGCCACCCCATCTTACCCTGGCTCTCTCTGGTTAGAAAGCTTACCCTCATGTCCTTCCAAAATCTGCCTTTCTCACCCTTCCACACACGGGACCAAGTTCTAGAATTCAAAGTTACCTACAAGTCTGACCCCTCTTACAAAGGACCACCTAAACCACCACCACCCCAGGCCATGAGTTCTTTTTTATTCAATTATTTTAATCCTGTCATCTCCCTGACTTTTTTTAGGGGTTGGTTCTATATTGTCCCAATGTTCCTAATTGTCCATACCACCCACTAAATGGAGTCCCTAGAAGTTTCACATTTTACGTACGTTATAGATTCCCTAACTTCATTAATTGCCTTACTGATGCAATGCATAAACACACGGAACTTCAAGCCAGGAAACTGATGACAAGAGATGTATAAGCAGCTCCTCTACGCACTTCCGTGGCCTCCTGTGACCCGCCCTACTCCCTCCCAGTTTTATTCTGGAACAGGTCCTGGGCCTGCTTTCTAGTCAAATTCAGCCACTCTCCTCTAAATGTGCCTGCACTCACAAAGCTTATTTTCCCAGCAATAACTGTCTGCCCATTCTCTGGTTATTGAACTTATTCGAGACCACATCAAGAAACAATAGCAATAATAATGAACTAATACGTATTGAATGGAAGGCATTGTTGAAGAATTTTATGTATAGTGATCCAGTTAATTCTCACAAAAAACCTAGAAAGTCTGGGCTATTGTCATATGCCCATTTTACACAGGAGGAAACAGGCACAGAGAGAACATGTCCAAGGAGAACCGGTAAGTGAAGGAACCAGGGTTCACACCTGAGCGGCCTGGCTCCACGGGCAGCAGCTGCCCTTTCATTCCGTATACTCTTCCGCCTCTGGAAATGTCACCTGCTCCCTGTAGCTCTCTCTCTCTCTCTTTTTCTGTCTTCCAGTTCAGACTTAATGTCTCTTCCTCAAGTGCCAGCACTTTGTACAAACACATTCTGTTGCACTTATCTCTCTTTATTGTAGTGATTTGTTTACACATCTGTTTCTTCCATTAGAAGCTACACCATTAGTTGCTTGGGTACAGGGAGCATGACTTAACGAGTGGTGAAACCTCAAAAGCAAATACATAAAAGGTGTGTGCTACCATTATGTGGTCATTTAAAACAATTATTGCATTTTTTACCTAGAGCTAGGCATCGTGCTGGCATTACAGAAAACAAAGAAATGCTTAATAGAGAGATTAAAATTTTTTCATATTTAATGTGTGTGTGTGTCTGGACTAAGACTGAGAGTACGGCTATGGGAACCCCAGAGCAAATCTTCTCATCAATCTAACATTTGGGTTTGAGGCAGTGCAGCCTAATGGCTATCTTGCCACTGTTCCATCTAAAAGCAAAATCCTCCAGCTTATGAGCCCTGCTCACTGACAGAGCTACCAGTCTTACTTCTCATTCCTGGCAGAGACTGAGGGGAGAGCTGGACCTGCCTAGTTAAAAGCAGAGTAAATTGTCTCACAGCAGTCCTGAATAAACAACCCGATCCTTCATTCTTATTTTTTTTATTTTAATCGTTGTTCAAGTACAGTTTTCTGTCCTTTACTCGCATCCCAGCCCACCCACCCATCCCTCCCCACCTCCCTCCCATTTTCACCCCCCCAGCTTTTGTCCATGTGTCCTTTATACTTGTTCCTGTAAACCCTTCCCCCTTTCCCCTGAAATTTCCTCCCCAATCCTTCATTGTTAAATAAGACATACAACCAGAATCATCAGACAGCTGAGGCAAACCAGCATCTTGAAAGAGGATATATATACAAAATAATAGACTCCATTGGAAATATGTTTCAGAAATCACAGGACAACTCTAAAACATCTAATTAGTCTTCAAGGGAAAAAATGTATAAATAACATAAAAATAGAGTACTATGGAAAGGAGCACCAAATAATGGAAAAACAACATATTCATAAGAGAATAAGTTGAAGGCATTTCCCCAAAAGTAAAATATCCTCCACAAAAATAAAAACATGAGACAAAAAAGTAGAAGAGAGAGTCAAAGAGAAAAAAAATAACAGAAAAAAGTAGAGAAGGCATTATGAATAAAATAATGGAAGAAAACTTCTCAATGCTATAGAATACAGAAATCTTCATACTGGAAGTGCCTGTTCAGGATTCGACAATGTGAATGGTTAAAACAAATCATACCTGACAACATACGTGTGATGTATTATAGAATGGTGCACTCGAAACCTATATAATTTGGTTAACTCAATAAATTCAATAACAACTTTTAAAATACCAATAAAAAAAGTTAGAAACATTTTTTTTAAGATTGTATTCATCCATTTTTAGAGAGGGAAGGGAGGGAGATAGAAAGAGAGAGAAACATCAATGTGTGGTTGCTGGAGGCCGTGGCCTGCAACCCAGGCATGTGCCCTGACTGGGAATCAAACCTGCAACACTTTGGTTTGCAGCCCAAGCTCAATCCACTGAGCTATGCCAGCCAGGGCTTAGAAACATTCTTGTGAAATTTGAGAACACAAAAGATAACAAAAGATTCAACAAGCTTCCAGAAAGAACCACCAACATTTACAGAGCAATGAAACTTAGCCTGCGAAAAGGAGGAAGCTGTGCTTTCATGCAACCGATAATGGTAAGGTAACTTTTAGTCTACAGAAAATAGATATCCTCTTATCAAAAAGAAAAGAAGCGACAGAAACTCCAACAATAAAATTTAAAAATAAACTACACAAGGATATTATGGTCCAAATATTAAGCATGATTGTGGAATCGTGGGGGAGAGTCGACAGAGTAGAAGAAAAAGGAGCCATTTGGAATTTGATCCCCCATCAGGCACCGTCTACTTCTAGTAGAACAGGGGCTGGGACGCTGAATCCACAGAGGAAGAGCTGAGTCCTGCCGTCCCAGTAGCTCTGCAGAGACGAACAATTTTTTTAGAGACAAACATTTTACAAAGCCAAAACCAGCATTTACTTCTTTTCAACTTCCAAAATCAAACTAGAGACAAAAGAAAAGCCTAAGTAATGATTATTAAATAGACTGCACACGTGATAAATCTGAGGATATTAAAATAAAGGTAGAACTAACAAAATTTAGAAAGCAGATGGGAAAAGGTAAGAGAAGATAATGGTAGGAATACTAATACCCTCATCTAATTTATGGAAAGATATAATGGCCTCCGCTTATAATTTGCAGTTATAAAGATAACCTAATGAAAGAACAAAAGATAAAATTTTCCAAACTTTGGAAAGAAAGGAGGGAATAAAATGAGATGTAGATGTGTCAGTTATGAATCAAGAAATAGTGAGTATATTACTTAGAGTTACGGACGAAGCCACTGGAAGAGTGTATCATGGGAAACACTGAAAAAGGCCTCCTGGGAGAGAGGCTGGGGGAGGCCAGAGGCAGAACTGCGTCGTTCACATGGTGCCGACCAGGACAGACGCAGGGTCTGACCCTGTGGCCTTTAGACAGACTTTAAGCGAATGACTCTTGTATTAGAAGCTATTTTTTAAAAAAGGCATCAAGGGATTCTGTTAATACAAAAGGGTATATCCTAGATTAAGATTCTGAGCAGGCCTCCCTGAGGACATGATATTTCAGCTGTACCTTGAAATCTGAGTAGAAGTTAAGCAGAGTGACC